CCAGAAACTGCAGCAACAGCAAAATTGCTGTGCATTTCCTCTTTATACATCAACATACTTAATCTACATTAATGTGAGTTTACTCCACAGCATTGCTTATGTTACAGCTTAAAGCAGATATCTCCCCACTCAGAAAAACTACTGATTTGACCATTTTTAACCCATTACACCGAGAAACAAACTTGAAGATCTTATTAAGGGAAGTATTAAGTCGCTGGAGGGGAAAGAAAGAGGTTTCTATGGCTTCACTGTTGCTGATGTGACTGGCAGACAGACTAAAGATTACAGCCACTTCATTGTAAGCAATGCCCTAGAATAAAGCCTTTAAGCCTGAAAGTGTTGGGAAATGGTGAGAATTTAGAGGTGTATGAAATGAGAGCAGAATGTCTGCAGCAATGCTAATGTCTGCTGAAAATAATGTGAGAGGAGGAGAGGAAAATGTGCATGAGCTGCATTAGTTCAGAGCTCATACAGCTTAACTCGACCAGAAATCACAGAACCATGGAATAGTCTGGCAGGGACCTTAAAGATCACCTAGTCCAACCTCTGCCCTGGGCAGGGACACCTTCCCCCAGCCCAGGCTGCTCCAAGCTCTGTCCAGCCTGGCCTGGGACACTCCAGGGATGGAGCAGCCACAGCTGCTCTGGGCTGTGCCTCAGGATTTGGCTTTTGCCAAGGCTGTGATTCTAAATCACAGAACCATGGAATAGTCTGGCAGGGACCTTAAAGATCACCTAGTCCAACCTCTGCCCTGGGCAGGGACACCTTCCCCCAGCCCAGGCTGCTCCAAGCTCTGTCCAGCCTGGCCTGGGACACTCCAGGGATGGAGCAGCCACAGCTGCTCTGGGCTGTGCCTCAGGATTTGGCTTTTGCCAAGGCTGTGATTCTAGAGAGTTGGTGCATGATGGGGATCCAACACATCACCTTCCAACATCAGTCAGACGGCTTTTGCCAAGGCTGTGATTCTAGAGAGTTGGTGCATGATGGGGATCCAACACATCACCTTCCAACACCTTTTCAGTCAGACTCTCACTCAGTGCAGAACTGATTCTGTGCAGGTACAGGTGGAACCTCAGGGTTCTGGCCCAGGGTCCCAGCTGCACTGGGTGAGTGGCTGCTCTGGCAATGCTCAGGTAGGAACAAGGGAGGATGGTGCATTTGCTTCTAACCTTAAAAAGTAGAGCTGGATCTTACTAGTTTTGGTGATATCACAGAATCATAGTATGCTAAGGGGTTGGAATGGACCTCAGAGCTGATCCAGCCCCAACCTCAAGGCTTTGTCCGGCCTGGCTTTGGTTGGATCACTGGATATACAGTGATGGATTGGTGATATACTTGATGTAAGCATCAACTAACATTTTCCAAGGAAAACAAAGGAAGAACTTCTCTGATCTTTATTGTTAGACACAAATTATGTGGAGGTTTCTTCTGGCATCATTAAGAGAGTGTCAGAGTTTCCATGGTAAGTTGGAGCTCAGACTTGGAACACACTTTCCTAGATTTCTCTGTGAACGTTGCCCTTCACAGCCTGGAAATCACTGTGGCAGCTCCACCAGCTTGTCAGAGGACAAGGTCTGCAGAGCTGTGATGGCCTCAGATGACTGTCTTCAAGTTATTCCATCATTAGGTTAGAGAAATCTCTTCCTCTCCCTGGAGCAGTGTGTCAGAAGCAATAAATTCCAGATGATTCAAGGGCCATGTTCTTTGTTGGCACAACTCCTCTGATTTCAGCCCATGCTGGCAAAGAACTCAGCTCCATAAATCTCAGATGAAGTAATTCCACTGAGAACTACAAGGAACTTTGAATATATAATCTGGAAAAGTATCTGGGAAGTACAGAGAACCTCCACAAAGTTTTCTTGTCTCACTTGTCCTCCTGTACTTCGTCTCACAGCTGAAAGGGAACTGCAGGAATTACAGTTTGAGGGGAGAAATTGCATTCCTTGTAGTAATGCTAAAAGAAGGGGGAAAAGAACAAGGAATACTCTGGTACACATTAACAGTTGTGATAGCTAAAGTTTCTTTTTGCAGGTGGAGAGACATGATTTTCTGGCCTGAGATGCCTCTCCAAGCTCAACATCTCTCCCTCCAAAATCCTCTGTAAGATTCTCTCCTTCTTTAGACCTATACACCATGTGCAATCCCCACACTGAGCTCTCTGAGCCAGTCAAACATGGCACTGGAGCAGCAAACTCTTCCCCTGAACACCATGATCAACCTCAAAGTGGAAATTCTACATTGCTCTGAATGTTTATGGCACATCATCTCCCAGACTCCACTTGGCTTTTGCCAGCTCTGCCTCTGGCTGTGCAGCAGAGGTGTCTGCACGTGAAACGGTGCAGAAGTTACTCCTGAGTTACAGAAGGTGTTGGAGGGCCTGGCAGGTCCATCTGGGAAGTCTCCCACCTCGTGCAGCCCCGGTGTGACCTGTGCAGTGGGAGAACCAGGAGGTGGGAACAGACTCCTCTGAACCCACTGCCAGAGTCACCCCAGGCTCATCCTGCAGTGTCACTGCCCCAGAATGGAGAGGGATGACCCCAACAAGGCTCCTTCACAGTGTCAGTCAATCTGATGGGCAGCATGTTTCCTCAGCCTTCCATAGCTTCCAAACTTCCAAGTTCAGTATGTGGATGTGAGCAAACAGTGGGTACAGGCTTTGGCTTCCCAGATCTCTTGGATAGGTCCCAAAACCTACCATGAGCTCCTTCATGGAATCATTGAGATTGGAGGAGACCTGATCAAGTCCAACCATTAGCCTGTCACTGCTGGAACCCCTAAGCCCTAAACCTTGCTGCCAGGTCTATCCTGCTGCTGCTCTGACCTGTCTTCCTCCAGGCTGATGGATGCATGCCCTGATGGCACCCTTTGAATTGGGTGTTCTGCTACAACTAATCAAAGCACTTAAACTAGGGGTGAAAATTCACCTATTCCTCTGTTAGGTCATTCAGCATTAACAAAACTTCGCAGCACAACTGAATTTTCCATGTGTCAAGTACTCCTTGTCCTTCAAATATGCCTTTGACATATGTCCCACAGGTCCCACATCACCTGCACTGCCACAAGACTTGCTGCCACCTCATTTTGTCTCTCCCACTTCTCTGTCTGGATGGCTGCTCACCAGGCTCAGGACACTCTGACTCCTGCACAATGCACTGTGTGCAATTACAACAGTCTATAAATAAGTAAAATGTTATAAAGAAAATCAATTTATCTCTATGGAAAGGTCAAAGTAAAGACTAAACAAGAATGATACCAACAGGATTGCAGAGAATCTGTTATCAGACACAATAATTACATTCTAAAAGCCACAGCATACAAATAGAAAATTATGTCCTATTTTTTCCCAAAGACTTCAATTCTCCAACAAAGACACCTGACTAGTGTAGAGGAAGGGCCCACTGGCTCCAGCTGGTTGGAATGGAACTAGCAGGGAATGTCTTGGAGATTTTCCTCATCAGAAGGTTCCAATAATGCTCTCAGTAGGTCTCTGGGCCATTATTTGATCACACACTCAAAGAGAGAACTAAGGTATCTTCAGTCCTGTTGAAGAATGTTATTAGAAGGATTAGGAATTCAGCACAGAATGCTAAGGGGTTGAGATGGAGCTTAGAGATCATCCAGTCCCTCCCCCTGCCCTGGGCAGGGACAATTCCACCAGCCCAGGCTGCTCCAAGCCCTGTCCAACCTGGCCTTGAGCACTGCTGGTATAAGAAATCTCCTTTATTACTGAAGAAGTTCTAAGAAATTATAACAAATCTACTTTGTTACTGGCATTAACCTATTTTTCTCCACTGAATAAATACTGAAACCTTCTGTTTTGTGGATCAAACTGGGTTTGGCCATGAGGTTTTTGTTTTAATAGTGACAGAAAAGAGAATAAATTCATTTTTATCATAGTATTCTCATCCTCTTGTACCTCTTGTTCTGGGTCCTCATACCTCACACTGATGCAGTGTTCACTTGTGGGATATTTTCTGCTCCTTTCCTGGGCTTGGCTTCAAGACTTCTACCTGAAACGCTTTTCAAAGCATCTTAAAGCTCTGGGTTGTGTTCCCTCTGTAGCTGCTCAGCACCAGCAGCCAGGCACTACCTGGCAAACCCCATTTCAGAGGAGCAGGGGAGAAGGTGCTGGGGGTGCTGGAGGTGTAATAAAGACTTTCTCACAAAGAAGCAACAACTCAATGAGCAGCAATCAACTTAATTCGCACATTAGCTATGCTTTTCCAACTTCTGACATTTCAGCTGCAAATAATGCTGAGGCAATGAGGCCTATAATTGAACAGCCCCAACTTCTCCAGAGGGGAAACAAAAACAAATGTTCCCTGCAAACAAGATCATTTTTAGCCCGTGTTGTTACTCAGGGTTTTAATAAACTTCATAAATGACAAAGCAACTCATTTGTTTTGTCCCATGTTTTACTGGGATCTGCCCATATTGCTCCAGTGGATGTGACATGGGGAATGGTAGAGAAGGTTAACCAAGGCAGAGCTGCCTGAATGCTCAGCTCGTTGGTTTAGTCACTGTTGCTGTGCTGCAGCTTCACCTCAGGCCACACACTGCTCTGTGTCAGTGCCTGCTGCTCTCCCTAGGGTGAGCCCAGATGCAGCAGGTCAGGGAGGAGGTTACTGGAGCTACACTGACCATTCTGGTATCACTGAGAACAAGAGTAGGAATCATAGAATCATATAATTTTAGGGGTTGGAATGGAGCTCAGAGCTCCTCCAGCCCCAGCCCCTGCCCTGGGCAGGGACACCTCCCAGCAGAGCAGGTTGCTCAAGGCTCATCCAACCTGGCTGTGAACACTGCCAGGGTTGGGGCAGCCACAGCCTCCCTGGGCACCCTGGCACAGGGTCATGTATGAAGACACAAAAACCAGAGGTACAAGTTAGAATCCTAGAATGGTTTGGCTTGGAAAGGACCTTAGAGGTCATCTCATTCCACAAAAGAAGATATTTAAGTACCTTTCACAATGAGGTTCCCTGAATCTCTGGCAGCTCCAAACTGGTTTGTTGCCACACAGGTGTAGACCCCAGTGTCTGACTTGGTGATGTTAGACAGCCTGAGGCTTCCATCCTCGAGGAGCACAGCCCTGGGGGAAAACAAACACAGTCTGAGACTCTCAGGCTGGTTTGGGTCACAAGGACCTTAAAGCTCATTTCACTCCACCCCTGTCCTGGGCAGAGACACCTCCCACCAGCCCAGGCTGCTCCAACCCCATCCAGCCTGGCCTGGAACACTCCCAGAGATGAGGAATCCACAGCTTCTCTGGGAAACAATAGAGAAATAAAAGAAAAAAAAAGAATGCTGCTAGAAGAACAGTAATGGAAATGCAATAATACTTTAAAATGTTTTCTTTAGACTTTTCCTCTTCTCCAGCAAAGTTGAATATGTATCAACCAGTTTTCACCTCTGCTTATTATTGATTTCTCTATTAGGAATGTTACATTGGCACATAGATTTGATAATTAACTTTTCCAGCTGACCTTCTGCCAGCAAAATCTGGAGACTCAAGAGAAAGAAGGAAGAGCTTCCTGCTCTTACTTCGGGCTTGTGGCTCCTCAGAAACACCCAGAACATATACCTAAAGGTAAAGAATTTCAAAACTGAAAACAGAAGTAGGTAAATGATGAACTTCCTGTATTGGTTTGTTAGTTTTATCTCTGTTCCTTTGATCCTCCTGTTGCACTTGTAGGTGTGGGAGTTCTTGACCACATTGGCAGAAGGACAGGGGAATGAAAGGCATGAACATCCTGGAATTTTCAGGGTCTCCATGTGCATCTCCTCTTGCCAGTAAACACCCAACTCAGGCACCAGAGGATCTCCCTCCAGGCAGGGAAAATCTGCCCACAAATTCCTTGTAGCTGACAGAATGCAGTGTAAGCCACAAATCCACAGGGAAACAGGTCTCATTCAGAGCTCTCACAGCAACCTGTTTGATGCTCCTCCTTTAATTGGCAGTTAACTCTAATACAAGGCTCCTTCATAAAAAGGAAGGTCTCTAATTCATGGATCACAGCTTGGGTGTTTAGTGTGATGCAGGAGATTGGGAGATGCAATGAATTACTCAGGAAATGGACAAGCACAGGAGCAGAAGTTGGAGCTGGTAATAGCATCAGAACCATTAAACACACAGAACCCACCAGTGTCTCCCTGCCTTGCACTCTGGGATTTATGCACAGGTGGGACACACATCACACCTTGTCCTGTTTCTGTTACACACTGCCAACCTCTCAGCTGGCAAAGGGAAGCCTAGACTTGGATTTCTGATGATCTTCTTGCTTATATCCCCCTAATTTCATGTCTCCCACACTCATCTGACCTTACCCCTTTCTGCTCCTCAGCAGGGCAAAGTGATTTAGGACTGAGAGCAGCAGAGGTGTCCCCATGGTGCTGGGAATGCTGTCACTGTGTGTGGAGCAGAGAGGGAAAAGGATTTAGGCTTGAAGGAAAAAATCTTTGTTTCCTTGGCAATAATCACCAGGTCCTGCAGCAGCTCTTAGTTTGCCATTTGTAGTACAGGGAGGAAATCAGTTCAGGTTTAATAATCCATCACAGATCCATAATAAACTGGGGCAGAGCAAAACAGTGAGCAAGAAAGTACACAATTCAATACAGTGATGGATCAGCTAAATTTCTTTTTTTTTGATAAAGAAAGATGAATAAAGCTGTGTTA